ACGTACTAGTACAGTACGTCCGTTCGTCGTGTGTAGTAGGTAGGACGACACACTAGTAGACTATTACTTAGTTAGTTTAGTACTCTCTATATATATATATATATATATATATATATATATATTGTGGTGAAGTCTTCATTGATATGATGGACTGTAAAATCACCATAACCATACTTGAGTAAGTGCTGTCCAATATTTGGGTGTGATAAGTTAAAAAATAATCGGTAGAAGTGCTGTCTCTATATTTAGGAGTGCTTCAACTGATTGCGTTTAGAACACATGACTAGTGGGAAGGAGGTACCAAATTCTTTGGCTCACAGGTTTCTAAATCAATGTGTGGAAAACCAAATAATCTAGACGATAAAATGGAAGTGTGGGCCACCTGAGTGGCGTTACCTGAAATTAGACCAGATTTCTGATATGTAGGCAATTGTTGTCAGTCTATCCGTGCAAGCCACACATTCATCTTCATTGCCTTCCCTGTAAAAATACAATCCGTGATGCAACATTGCTTCTAAATTATCCACTACATTATCAATGACTAGCAGCACCATATTGAACATGTCTGACACTTGACATGTCTGCTTACAGCTGTACTCCAAGTGTTCCTTATATTTGACTTTGAACTTGAACTTACATTTAAAGGATTACTCTCAACTAGAACAGTGACTAAAGAATATACAAAATTGTAGAATGATTTAACTAGTTGAAATTTCTTTGCTTGAAATTTAATTTGTCTAAGGTTTGTTATCTGGGAAATCTACAAAAATTACAGCTCAGTCATAGAGCTTTGGCAGAGAAATTGTTATTAGAATTGGTGGTCCAGGAGTTTGTTGAAGGGATAAACCCGCTCAATTATTGGATTTTCTAACCTTGCTAATAATGGACTTTTGAGTATGCTTCCCCTAAAGAAGGAACATAATTTTAGAATTTTAAGCTCATAAACTTTGAGGTTCGAAGTTGCACCCGAGAGTTAGACTATATATATTTTTTTCCTGAGTTTCATTCGGATCTAGCTGCAGTCTCTCAGAGCTGTATACAAGCAGATCACATTAGGCTAATCGCTTCGAGGTTGTTACGCTTGAATTTTGTGAGTTAACTTACACATTTTTATTTTTATTTTTTTCATGTATTCTTCTTCTTTTCTCCAGGTTTTTTCAGTAATTTCATCATCAGCTATTCTGTCAAACTCTTCTGATATGTCTGTAATCATATTTACTATGTACTTATACATTACATTTTTGTAAATTTGGCGTATGTGTTTTAGTATAATTCCTTTCTTTTATATAACCTGGGATGAACAGATACAGAAGGAAGAGAGAGAAACTAGTTGAGCGTGCTGCTGTGGCTCGTATCCCTACAACATGGGGCCCATTCCAGGCCTATTGTTATCGCTCTCAGCTAGATGGTATCGAGCATATAGCCATGGTCAAGGTACAACTCATTCAAATACAGGACGTAACATTAATGAATTCTGTCTTTTACATGCCATTATCATCTCTCTTTGTCATCTTATTAAGTTCTATTGCAATCTTCAGGGTGATGTAGGGGATGGGCAGGACATTTTGGTGAGGGTACACTCGGAGTGCTTGACTGGGGATATATTTGGGTCCGCAAGGTGTGATTGTGGGAATCAATTAGCACTCGCAATGCAACAAATTGAGGCAGCAGGGAGGGGGGTATTGGTGTACCTGAGGGGACATGAGGGGAGGGGTATTGGGTTAGGTCACAAACTACGGGCCTACAACCTTCAGGATGATGGAAGAGATACTGTTGAGGCCAATGAGGAGCTTGGCCTACCTGTTGATTCCAGAGAGTACGGCATTGGAGCCCAGGTATTATAAGTCAACATGTTTCCCTTTGCAATATTTTGAGAAGTGAGTAGCTATGGGGTTCTCTATATAAGCCAAGCAAGTCATTTTTCTTTGTTGGTTATTTGTCTGAGCAAATAAGTTGGGAAAATAGAAACACCCACTTTTCCTCTCCTCGAACAAAAGAGAAAAACTTTACCATATGAAATTCCATTTAATACAGGAAAAACATAATGAAGAAATCAGTAACCATGTTATAGAACATTACATACAGAAAATCACCCACTTTTCCTGTCCTCAAACAAAAGAGAAAACTTTACCATATGAAACTTCATTTAATACAGGAAAAACAAAATGAAAATATCTGTAACCATGTTATAGAACATTGCATACAGAAGATCACACACAGTTAATTTAGAGCTAGAAGACCTTATATGTTTGTGAAAGCTTTATTTTTTGTTTTTCTTCTTTCTCGTTTTTGCATGTTTATGCTTGTCCCTTCCCTCCTTCCTTCAAATATTTTTGATACCATACTATTAACCAACACTGTTTATTTTTGCATCCACTCCCCCCAAGCAAAAAAGTTTACCTTTTTTGAACCAAAATACCCTCATTTTAACCCACGTTTCCCACTCTCTCTCTTTATGCCAATCCGGCACATAGCTGGACAAAATGTGCTGGACTGGCACAATTTGAATATAGAAGCCGGTCCGGTATAAAATGTGGCGGCCCGACACAATTTCAATATAAGCCGGTCGAACACATTTTGTGCCAGACCAGCAGAATTTGAAATTTTTAAGTTGGTCCGGCACATTTTGTGTCTGACCAGCACTTTTTTTGTCAAAAGTTTAGAAAAATGGGTTAAATAGGGGCAAGGCAGGGGGTTGGGTTGGTGCAAAACTAAACGTTTTTGCTTTGGGGGGGGGATGCAAAAATAAGTAGTATTGGAATTAATAGTGTGATAGAAAGTACAAATTCGTGAGATATCTATTATTTTCCCTAAAAATTATTATTGTTTCTAGATCTAGAAGTAGAAAGAATTAGAGTTGGTAAACTCACTTTTTCAGAAGTAGTCCAGTGTCAAAAGACATTCGTTTTTAGGATTATTCCTTCTCAATATAAATGTCTACAGTCTCATAAAAAGAAAAGACATTATTTTTAATGAGGCAAAATTTATTTTCATTAAAGATTACCTTGTTTTCTGGATGGTCCATGTTTATTTATGCTGTTTTTGAAGTCAATTTGTGCTGAAACCCCCTTCACACACACACACACGTGCACACACACACACCCTAAAAGAAAGAACAGAGTAAAAGAAAGAAAAGAGAAATATAGGAGAGAAAAAATGCCAGCAGCTAACTGGCCATGGACTTAGTAATTTATGTTAGTACTTTTTTGTTTTTGAAGATTCTGAGAGACATTGGAGTCCGGACGATGAAGCTTATGACTAATAACCCGGCCAAGTACATTGGCCTAAAAGGCTATGGTTTGGCTGTGGTTGGCAGGGTCCCCCTTTTGACACCGATAACCACTGAAAATCGGAGATACCTAGAGACAAAGAGGTCCAAAATGGGCCACATTTATGGTTCTGAGTTCAATGCTCACTTGGCCTCGATCATTAGTAAAAATGGCACCCCAAATAATGAAGTTAAATTACCTTCCTCGACCCCTGCTACTGGAATTTGATTCCACATGAAAAGGTAGCCTTGGATCCCTTGTTTGAATAAAATACAGGGGATGATTCTTTCTGTAATTCATTTCAATTTTTCTTTTGTTAGCAATTAAGGAGCTTGCATTTGTGTAACATCGCTGGTGAAGTAGCTGTGATCTTGGTATTCTTGGGTTATATATATTATTTTGGATGAGTGCTTTAATTGTTGTTCGGCTAGTTGTATTATTTCTTGATGAGTCTGCTTTAAATTTTTGTTGGCCTATTTATATAATGTTCGGATGTGTAATTTGATGTGAAATAAATAAATAAATACACCAATGTTACGAGGATGATCCATTTCAAGTGTTTTGGCCACAGAATGGAATACAAGATTCTCGGCTGCCCTGATTGGGTGGTTGGTGCTACTACCTGAATCATCTCCTTAGCTGAGCAGGTTGCAACATAATATCATTGGAGGCTGTTACAATGACACCAGATTGGACAAATAGACTGTATAGTATATGCCAAGAAAGTAATGAATGTCCTAGATATATGCAATATCCAAACCTTGCCCAATTAAAATCTACACCCAGGCAACTTTGAGATATTACTCCACTAACGCAATAAGGGCCACGAAATGGAGTCTGACATTTTTACCTGATACTACACTAACTTGTTACATGAGTGTTGAGTAATGCATGAATTACCTTTGTTTACCACCAGAAATAGACTGGAGATGACTAAGGTATGGTGAGCAGTCTAAAGAAGATCCCCAACCAAGTATCTATATCTGATCGGATCAGAAAGACGTTCACTTGTCACTTCCTGCAGGGTTTATTTTGACTCGAGAGGAGTGTCTATCTCAGAATTGGGCCAAGACAATCGCATGTATTTTTGGTTTGTAATTATGAAATCACTGGATTAGGGCTGGCAACGAGCCAGGTCAGAGCCTGCCCCTATTCCCTTGAGGGCTGGCGCAAGCCTGGCCTTAGACCTATCTAGGCCGGGGAAATGAAAGAAAAACAATGCAAAAAAGATAAAGAATCTGAATAGCACTGGGCCTGCCTTGGCCTATCCCAGCCCCTAGTTTTTTGGGGCTGGGCAGGGCCACCGAACCCATTGCCACCCTGGATGATCTTGCAGTCTCAAATTTAAGGAAATAACACAAGTGTCCATCTCTATGGCTTAAAGATCCGCAAGGTATACTTCCTGCATGTTATATGATATGGTCCACGTGCAATTACCATGAGAACAGTGTGATCCATATTTTTTTGCAAGTACAGAAAAACCACCGTGCTATCTAACAAAAGTATATGGAATGCTATAGATTCATGGTATGTGACAAAGGTATATGGAATGATATAGATTAATCTGGGATAAAAAGAATAATGGAAATGTATGTGCGTAATTTATTTATTTATTTTAACAAAAAAGGCAAAGTGATCCTCAATTACAAAAATGAGTCTAAGAGTTTATTTCCTCATCTTTTAGTCATATCCCAACTATTTTGGATCGGCTGAATGATTTATGTTCTGTCATTCAATATTGGATCAAGATTCATAAAACAGATATGACAAAAGTTTTATGCTGGCTCTTAACCTAACACAACGCTCCTCTCTCCAAGCTTGGCTGGCATGATCGGCTTGGGGACGGGCAAAATTTCATTTGGGACATAAGTTCTTTCCTTTATTCAATAGTATACGACCGTTTCATACAATTGAGTAGCCAGGCTCGAGGTAATCCGAAGCCGTATGTGCTCTCATCGGCGTTTGTTTTTGTTGATTTGTGAAATGTGGTAGCTACCTAGTTCTCGGCATCTTTGTTTATCTCCATGATGGATGAATGTAGGCCACATTAGCGGTAAAAGTGCAGTTCCAAAGAAGTTTTCAGCAGCTCACATTTATGAACTTAATGTCCTCCGTTTTGTTTGTTCCACTCTCTTTTAATTCTTCTAATTATTAAAATATAATATTTAAAAATTATTAAAATATAATATTTAAAAACAATTCAAGGAAGATTTATGGCTTAACAAGATATTTGATTCTAGTTAATAGTGTATTCAATAAATGGTTTGAATTCCATATTTGTGCCAAATCCATGACAGTGTTGGTGGTTCATGCCTCCACCTTTGGTGCCTTCAGTTTGCAACATTTTAATTTATACTGCATAGGTTGAACGGGTTGAGGTATAATGGTTGTGGAAGGTGGATCCCTCAATATAAAGTCTCACCCTCCATTCCAACCTTTAATATATCATAAATAAGGGGCCCCTGCGCCCTTACCGTTCTCATTGTCAGGGTCCAGCCCTAAAAAAACTAGGACATGGGCTATAGAATGTGCCCCAGGGCCTGACCACCATGGCGAGAGGGCAGTGCTGGTCCGGCTCTTCTTTGTTTCTTTCTTTTTTTTTTTTTTTTTTTTTTCATACATGCTTTTATTGTATTTAGCCTGATTTTAAAGAGTTGTGTTAACGATTATAGCAACAAGATATTAAGTTTCCTTGTAATGAGATTTATTTTCTAAAAGACATGATTTGTAACTCTATAATATTTGATAAAGCCAGTAATCTTTGTAAATGAAATACTAGTTTTTCCTCTATGGATGTAGGCACCATTGCCAAAGCATGTATATGTTGAGTTGATCTATTTTCTCTCTTCTCGTTTTTATTTCGTTTATTGCAACTTCAACAATTTGCCTAGTCACTTCATGCGTCTCGTTTGGGCACATGGATATTGGGGCATGGATTTTAATATCTGAAATATTATTAGAATCCACTTTTTGGTTTGCAATGCTCAAGAAGTCGGAGGCGGTCATCTAGGCGGGTGCCCAGACCCAAAGGCGGCTAGTTTTTTAATTTTATTATTTTATTATTTTATTTTAAAAAAATTTGGATCCCCACACCTCCCCCCATTTTATTGTATATAGAATTGCCAATTTTTTTATTTAATGTTGTGTATATAATATATTGTTAAGATGCCGGAAGCCAGAAGCACAGATCAAACTTGCAATGATGTAACAAAAAATCGAAATAGAATATCAAACATACAATTATGTAATAAGCATTAAGCAAATATTAAACTAACTAATAACAAAAATTATGATTTATGAATCAATAAATCGAGAAAACATATTACACATTCAATTATTTAATAAGCATGAAGAATTATTAAACTAACTAATAAAAAAAATGGTATATGAATCATATAAGTAAATTCATGTATAAAACTAAAAAAGAAGAAGTAAAAGACAATATTCATTCAGTTTGGGGACAATTGACTTTTTCATTAAATTGTTTTCCCAAAGTCCCAAACTACATATCAAAATGGAAAAATAACAATCCAAATAGACAATGACATCAAATATGTATCAAAAAGTATATAAAATAATACAAATAGCAAATAGCAAATAACAACATCATTAGACATTAAGGGGAAAAAATACAAAACTTAGTGAAAACTATTGAAATATTCCAACCTTGTTGTTGTGGACTCGATTTCGAGCCAAACCAAAGTATTTAGGATCCCAAATCTCCTCTTTTACAACCCTTATAAGTCTCAAAAAGATTGGGGATGAATATCCTTTAATAACGCGAATGTTTGAGGATTTTGAAAAAAAAAAAATTCGATCTCTCAAAAAATCTTCAAATCCAATTATTTTTCAAGTTGTTTCTCACTCTAAAGTTCACTAAAATTATTTTTAGGGACAAGAATGACCCCCCAAACCTTTATCCCCACTTTTAAGGGGGTAAAATTATATTTCTTCCCTTCTCCTAAAAGCGTTTTTCCACCAAAGTCGAGCAGTCCGCCTAGCCACCCGTCTTTTACACGGCTTAGATGGGTGCCTAGCTTTGATTCCCTAATGTTGACCGCCTTTAATACCCCTAGGCGATTTTTTGCAAAAGTCTGCCTAGGCTTTCAGGCGGTCGACTTTTTGTTCATTTGCTTAATGGGAGGATGTTAAAATTCCATAGAAATTAAATCTTGAAAAATTACCGAATATTTCCACAATTTTGTTTCCACATCAAAACCATTTTTATTTTATTTTTTAAATTTCCAAGGCCTTTGGATTCCACTCATTAGCCCCTCGACCCGAAACTTAAAGCACATTTGGTATGTATAAAAATATTTGCATGAAAATATTTTTATTTAAAAATTAGGTTACACATATTTGGTATGCAAAAATATGAAAAACATATCAAATTTTAGAAAGAGAAAGTATTAGAAATTTTTTAAAGAGTGTAACTATCTCAAAATTTTTAAAGAGAGTAATTATCTCAAATTTTAAATTTTAGAGAGAGAAAACATATTAAATTTTTTAAAAAAGAATCAAATTTTAGAGAGAGAGAGCATCTATTTTTTCTTAGAGAGACTATCTCAAATCTTTTAAAGAGAGAAACTATCTCAAATTTTGGGCTGGCATATTGGTGATAGCCTTAATTTTTAATGGATATACCTCGATGCCCCTCTAACTGACGATGGACCCTAACAATCTTTCCAAGGGGAGTCCGAAGGCACATTTTTACGAGTTGTTGAGTTGGTACTTTCGAAGTCAGTTGAATGCTTGTTGGAGATTGGCCCGATGATTTTCCCTATTTCGTGACTTCACTGGGATGTCTTGTACGTAGTCTTCCATACTAACATGCATCATGTCATGAAATATAGACGTCATGGCTATTTGATAGGTGGCCCAACATTTTTAAGGCCAAAAAGCATGACCTTATAACATTATATTCCCCATGGAATGACAAAGGATGTCTCTATTTGGTCATCTTCAGCCATGCGAATTTAATTATATCTAAAAGCCATCCATGAATGATAGCATTTTATGGTTGATAATGCATTTTATGGTCCATAGTATTATCAACTAGGGTATCTATATTAAACAATGGAAAGTCGTCTTTAGGACAAGCCTTATTTAGATCCCTAAAATCGGCACATATTCTAATTCATCCGTTCTTTTTAGGGACAGCGACAATATTGGCCAATCAGTTGGAGTAGTCCACAAGTACAATGAAATTTGCTTTCAAGGGCTAGTTGATTTCCTCATTGGTTTTGAGATCTACCTTAGTCTTCGGCCTTCTGGCCTTTTGTTTGATTGGGATAGCCCCTTTATGGATGTTGTTTCGTCTAAGGCGGGGTCCAGTTCAGGCACGTCATCGTATGACCATGCGAAGATGTCAAGAATATGACCATTTTTTCCAGTTCCTTAGGCGACAGAGATGTCTTGATCTTAGTTATCTTTTGATCAGTTTCCGTGCCTAAGTTTACATTTAAAGTTTCTTCGACGGTGTGG